CCCGCGCCTCCTTCCGTTTTTTATTTTGCTACCGATTTTTCGTGCATTGTATTTTCAACGCTCGAAAGAGACGCGTACACTGCTCTCTCCAGCATACCCATAAGTATACCTACATGTAGGTACTCCTTCCCTTTCCTTTTTCACCGGCTACGCGTGGGCTATACAACACTTTGATATTCCATGTACCAAGGACGATCAAACCAATGGCAAATGGCACGCCTCTCGCGGTTACGTACAATTATTTCACAACTAGGTCCTTCGGATAATGTAACTCGGTTTCTTTCTCGTATCGTAGGTACACTATATTATACATGTTTATATACTCGTATGGTTGCCTTGTCTATTTTCGGAATAACTTGACGCCCGCAACCAACCATTGCGAAACGTCACGTGCGTATGTGCAATAACTTTTACTACGGGGGGGGCCTCTGAAAATTTACACCTTTTCACGTCCGGAAAGTGAAACGACACGGCAATAGCCATAGGTACATAGGTATATACTTGAATTGTAATAAGAAAAATAGAAAAAGGAAATATAATGCATTACGGAACATGAATAAATGGCATCACTGACGTAAGAGAGCTCCCTGGTAAAACAAAGAGAGGGCGTATATATATATATATATTTACGCGAGTGCCAGCGTAACGATGAGTAATATGTGTATATATAAGTACACACACTTTGTACTGCAATGCAATGCGGGGCCTCGTCCGCGATGCAATGGTTCATCGTTGGCCATCGTTCCACATCCTCTCCTCTCTTTCGCTCCTTCGCGGTCACCGCAACGGAAAGTCAACGAGCAAGATCTCTGCTTTGGCGTTATCTCTCTCTCTCTCTCTCTCTTGAGAGTAAGTATAAATATTATATACTTGCCGTATGCATATATTATGCGCTCGCTTTAGCTGCGGGCACTCTCTCGGTATAAATTTTACACGTTTACGTAAACAAGTGGACATTATTTTCAACACCTATCTACACTTGTGAAAAAATTTTCTGCTCCCCGAGCCGTACGGTGCGTCAACTATTTTTAAGATAAAAATTGTAAACGCGAGGTATTTTATTTTATGACGTGTTGGTCATACGAGCTTATATGGTTTTTTTTTTTTCTTTTTGGTTTTTTCATGTACAAAAAATCTGAAGCTGATGGGTAACCCATTGGGTGCATCTGGTCAGTCTCCCAACAGTGACTTCCTCTTCTAGTAAAGATCTTCATGTGCCTATCGTAATAAGATGTAGCTAGATCGTCATCGATAAAGTCAACGTTTCTACTTACATGTCTTTGCTGATTCAAGTGGAGATGTGCCAACTGGTGCGGAGAGTTGTATTTTATCGCAATTCAAGATAATACGTACCTAAATTGTATGTAATGTAAAAAAAAAAAAAAAAATACAATACAATACAATAAAAGTAACGCCATTTCTTTAACATCGCTATGCATCTCTTTAGTTGATATACGTGGACTTTCGGGTAATTGAGACAACAGTTTACAGTACAGCAGAATACATTATCAATCGGTGAGTCTTGGTAAAACACCTTGCATATACACAGTCCATACATACCATACCGGTTTATCTCGATTACAGTTTTTCACCTTACACAACTTGAATCAATTCATCGGAATAATTTTTTCCTTCGGGGGAACTTTGTATTAACGCAAAATCATCAACACTAAGATGGGAAAAAATTAACAAGTGTACTTTTTCAGATGTAAAAGTATGTGGAAAAACGGTGGGTATAATTATCAGTACTATACGAGGCGTAGGTATATTATGTATTCATCGCATTTTCTTATACTTATTTTTACCCATGCAGAAGTACCTCCTCAAAATTAGTAATACATTTGTCCATGTGAGTTTTCACGACTCTTTTTTTTTTTTTTTTTTTCAAGATAAATGACTATCTATGTAATCGAGATAAAACTGTACGGTAGACAAAAAAAGGTGAAATCCAAAGTTTAGTGTACTCTTAAAATTTACATGATTAAATTAACCGAATCAGTAGATAAGTACATTCGATCGATTAATTTGTAATTTTTACGACATTATTTTTCGACTCGATACGTATCATTTGAAATTTCCTTTTACGTGTACCTATACGAATTTAGTATTTTCCTAAATTACAAATCCGTTTTACTTCCAATACATTATATGGATAGCGATCACCTTATTATTGATATTTATCACTTTTTATTTTTCTTTTTTTTCTTTTTTTGTTTACTTTGGAGCATAAAAATAATTTTTTTTTTTTTTCTTTTTCCGAGTGTTTTATCTATATTTTTTAAAGATTCACAAATTTCAGCAACTACAGGTGTAGTCTAAGTTAAAAGTTTTCACGTGAACATAACAGGATATTAGCTTCTTTTGGCTAACTTTAAGCTTTACAAGGTGCTTCTTCTTAAACCTACAATTTTTCGTACATTATGATTTTAACATTTTGAGAGGTAAGTATTGGCACATAATCGGACGACCCTCGTATTAGTTTTAAAATTGGTTTTACACAAAAAACAATGTTTTACGTTTTGGTAGTTGATATACAACTGCGCTGAAAAAAACTACTATTCAATTAAAAATAAAAAAAGACCAAGGCATCGTCCATAGTGGTTCCCTAAACTTTGACCATCAGAGATCTGCCAAACCAAAAAAATAAAATAAAATAAAGCAAAAAGAAAAAAAATCCGGGATCATCGACACCAGAGAACTCGTGGGGTCAAGGAGTCTCCCGTGGGTCATTGTAAATATAGGTATATAACACGTATAGATACATAATACATCTCACATCTGCACTGAGTTCTGACTCTTAATTTTTTTCGTTCTCTCATATATGTATATATATATGCACGAAATAGATATCACGATAGTTGGTTACATGATACATGCGCACCATTCAGGGCCACCAGACGTCGTTGAGAATTTCGACACGAGGCCCCCCCTTTTTTTTCTTTTTTTTTTTTTTTTTTTTTTTTTTTTTTTTTTTTTTTTTTTTTTTTTTTTTTTTTT